GCAGTTTCACTCTGCTTTCTCGGTATCGGGCTTTGCACGCCCTCAGAGGCACGCCTCCCCGCCGTCCCCATTAGCTGGGGCGCCTTAAGGTGGCTGCCTGCCCTGGGAAACCGGTTCCGGAGCTCTCAGCCGCGCACCAGCCCGGGCAGCCCTTCGCTACCGAAACCCGAGTCGCCCTCCCCGCCCGCGCGCTGGCATGGCCGGGCCTGGCGGGCGGCGCCTCCTGCTCTCCCGGCACGGCGCGCCGCCCCCCCGCGCGAGGGCATCGCTGCCGGCGGCCGTGGGAACGGAGGCGGCCGCCTCTCCCGTCCTGCCGGCAGGCTTCCGCCCAGCAGCACGACGCTGCTTCCCGCAGCGGGCCCGGGCCCGGGCGGGGACCCGGCGGGCGTGCACCGGCCCTGCCTTGCTCCCCGCCGCCCGGGCCGCGCTCGCCGCTCGTGGCCCCAGCAGGGGGCGGGCGGGGCGAGCCGAGCCGAGCCGCCGTGCTGCTGGGGAGGGCTCTCCCGCGGGGGGGGCTGTAAGGCTGGCCCCGGGTCCTTTGCCAGCGCCCACCGGCGCCTCCCTCTTGCCCCGCGCAGCGCCCCCTGCTGGTGGCGGGGGAGCCCTTCCGCGCCTTCCTGGAGAAGCACTGCCCCATCGTGAGCGAGCCCTTCCGCCCCACGCCGTGGTGCTTCGAGGGCCGCCTGCAGACCATCGTCCACGCCTTCCTCAAGTCCCGCCCGCTCGTCCACTACCGCAGGTGGGTGCGCGGCGGCGGGTGGGTGCGCGGCGGCGCAGCAGCGAGCCGCTCGGCGCTTCGCCCCGGGCGCCCGCCTGTCGGTGCAGCCTCAGCCTCCCGCTCCGCTCCCCTCCAGCGAGGCGCTCCGGACGGCTGACGGCGGGCAGGTGGTGCTGGACTGGGCCGAGGACGGCGGCTGGAGCGACAGCCTGGCCGACCCCAAGGGCTGCCCCATCGTCCTCTTCCTGCCGGGGCTGACGGGCAACAGCCGGGAGGCCTACATCCTGCACATGGTGCGCAGCACCCTGCAGCTGGGCTACAGGTGAGAGCCGGGTGCAGCCGGGCGGTGGGCGGGTGTCCTGCCTCTGCACAGGGAGCCCCGCAGCTGGGGCTGGAGACCCGGCCCGTTGCGGCCAGGGGGCTGGTGTGCTGGTCAGAGGGCGAGGGGCCGGCTGGGGGAGGCCCGGGGCCGGGCAGGGCTGACCCCCCTCTCCCCCCCCAGGGCCGCTGTGTTCAACAACCGGGGCTGTGGAGGAAGCGAGCTGCTGGTGAGTGCCGCCCCCCCCCCCGCCCGCTGGTGCTCCGGGAGCCTTGTGGGGGCCATGCCCCGGGGACACACGCTCCCTTGCGGTCTTCTGGAGAGGACTGCACGCAGCCTCCGACCCCCTCCCGCCCCTCTCCCCCAGACGCACCGGGCCTTCTGTGCGGACCACACCGAGGACCTGGAGCTGGTGGTGCGGCACATCGGGAGCCGGTTCCCGCAGGCGCCCCTGATGGCTGTCGGGGTTTCTCTGGGCGGGTGAGGCTGCGGCCAGGCAAAAGCTCGCATGCGAGGGAAGGAAGCCGGGGCTGGGGGGAGATGTGGGGGGGGCGGGGGACCCGGGGGGGGGGGGCTGGGGGCCCAGCTTCCTTGGCGCTCAGGGCTCTCCCTTGCAATCGACCACTGCCTGGGAGAGGCCCCGGAATGCCTCCCTTGTTCGCTGCAGTTTTGGGGTCCCGTGCTCTCCCCCACAGCCGGCTCAGGTGAAGACACAGCCTGCGAGGGGAGCCCTGCCCGTGTCTCCCGTCTTGACGAACCGCCCCAGCCCGTGAGATGCAAACGGTGTTCGGGGTGACGTGGAGCAGGGTCGTTCCTCGGCCGCCCAGTCGCCCTTCCCAGGAATGCTGATGGACCTGCTCACCCGACGCCCTGGAATGCTGGGAAGGACAGGCCTCCTCTGAGGGGACCTCCCAGGCTCCCCCCGGGGCCGGGGGCTGTGCTGGCTGCGTGTGTTGTGGCCACTGGGAAGACACAGAGCGTGTGTCCCTTGCAAGGACCCCGCTGCGCCGGGGCAGGACGCCGAGATGCTGGCTGGAGGCCGGTGGGCCGCCAGAGCACCCCCCCCCCCCCGGCAGGCCGGCCCTCTGCGGCCTCCGCGCTTGCAGGCCGGGTCACGTGATGCTTCTGCAGGTGCAGCCCGCACCCTTGTCCGAAGATTGCTCCAGGAGGGAGCTGGTGACTTCTTCACATGCTTGGCAAACGCTTGCGCAGAGGAGACAAAATCAGCAAGATGCGGCGGGCAGGCTGGCTACAGCTGCCGGTCACGGGGGGTCCTGGCACTGCAGCCCCTGCCCCACGGAGCTGGCCTGCTGACGCTGCCCGGCACTGGGGCAGCGGCACACAAAGGCCGCCGGGGCGCTGCCAGACTCTCCCGGCTCCTCCGGGCCCGGCCTGCCCTCTCTGGTCTCAGCTGCCCTTTCGAAAGGCATTAGTGGCCTTGTGCCCGCAAGGAGTCGGGACCCGGAACCAATTCGCAGAAGTGGGGAAGCAGAAGTGGGAGGGGGCAGCCTGCTGCAGTTAGGAATGGTTCGCCGGGGGTACCGAGGCCCTCGCTCCTGGCACTTCTGGCTGCGGGGCACCCCGGTGGGGCTCGAGAGCCGAAGCGGCGAGCGGCGGCAAGTCTGTGGCTTGCCCACCTGCCGCTAAATGGTGCCAGTCGGGAAAGCCGCCCTGCACGCCGTTGCCAACCCGAGCAGCCCTGTCCAGCACGTTGCTCTTCCTGCGCCATCCTTGCAGGGGAGGCCACTCAAAAGCGGCACCAGGAGCAGCACCCACAGCTGCCTGGGGGATCTCTGGGGGGCACAGGAGCTGCCCTGCACCTCGGCCCAGCAGACATGGCTGCCCTCTTCTGCTGAGGGTGGATCGCAGCAGGGGAGGTTGTGGCCACCGAGGCGGGGGGCTGGGAGGCCCACAGGCCACTTAAGCTTCCCGTCCCAACGGAGCAAAGCTCAGGGAGCCAAGGTTCACCTGGGATGCCAGGAAGCACTTCCTGACGGTTAGGACCCGGAGGGTGTGGAATGGGCTCCCACGGGAGGTGGTTGAGGCCCCATCGGTGCGGGTGTTCAAAGACAGGCTGGACGTGCACATGGTGGGCATGTCGTAAGCAGAGCCAGGGGTCAGACTAGATGGCCCGGAAGGTCCCTCCTGACTCGCGCTGTTTCTGTGTCCCCCGGGCAGGATGCTGGTGCTCAACTACCTGGGCCAGAAGGGCCAGCAGGCAGGGCTCGTGGCCGCCATGACCTGCTCCGTCACCTGGGACTCTGCTGCGTCCATCGCCTCCCTCGAGAGGCCGCTCAACCTCGTGCTCTTCAACCAGCGGCTCACGGCCAACCTGCGCAGGCTGGTCCAGCGGTATGGCTGCTTTGGGGTCCTCCCAGAGGGGCACCACCGCTGCCCCGGCTTGGCTCGGCTCGGAGTGGGAGGCTCGGTGGGGCAGGGAGGCCACTCCCGAGGTGCACCCCCCCACCCCGGGGCCTGCTGGGCGGCGTGGCCCGTCCCGCTCCCCTGACTGGCCCTCCCTCTTCTCAGGCACAGGATGGTCATCGCCCGGGAGCTCGACGTGGACCACGTGCTGCAGGTACTGCGCCCCCCCGCAGCCCCCGCCTCAGCCGCCCCGCGTGCCGAGCACCGACGCCTTCTCTGCCCCCCAGGCCCGCAGCATCCGGGAGTTTGACGAGCGCTACACCACGGTGGCCTTCGGGTACGACTCGTGCGAGGACTACTACCGGGCCGCCAGCCCCCGCCGCAAGGTGCACGGCATCCGGGTGCCGGTGCTGTGCCTCAACGCCTCGGACGACCCCTTCTCCCCGCGGCACGGTGAGTCGCGCCTCTGGCCCGGGCGGCCCCGGGGCAGCGGGGTCCCCGCAGCGCGCGTGACTGGCAAGACGCCTTCCTTGCAGCTCTCCCCGTGGAGGAGGCCCAGCGAGTCCCCGCCCTGGCCCTGCTGGTGACGGCGAGAGGCGGCCACATCGGCTTTCTGGAGGGCCTCCTGCCGCGCCACCAGAGCTACATGGACCGCGTCCTGGCCCAGTTTGTGCGCGCAGCCTTTGAGCACCGGGAGGCCCTGGCGGCCGCCGTGGAAGGGCGGCCACCGCTCTGCGAGGAATCGGAGACCCGGCAGGACAGCGCCTGAGCGGAACCCGGAGACGCCACCTGTGCCCTCCCTCTCTGCTGGCTGCCCCGGACTTGCTGCCCCGGCAGGAGGGGCCTGCGGGGGAGCAGTGGCCCCTGCCCTGCCTGCGGGGCTGCCGGGAACACAGAGCACAGCCCAATACAGGAGCTTTTCTCGCCATGTGGCCCAAGGCTGTCCTGTTTCGAGTGTGAAGGAACCGCGCCAGCCTGAGGCGGCGGCCCGGGGGTCGGTGCCGCCCAAGGGGAGGGCTGCTCAGGCCAAGCGCAGGGCGGAAGGCCGCCTGGCCAGCGGCCTTCCGGGAAGCCTCGCCCTCTGCAGGGAACTCCCTGCTCATCGTTTGGCAGTGACACGGTTGAAGAGAGGCACACGAGATCATGGGCTCGCGGCCCCTCCTTGCCCCCCACAGCTGGCTGGTGGTCAGAGGAGGCAGTGGCACGCCCCCCCAGGTGGGCAGCGGCCTTTGCCATCAGGTGCAGCTGCTGGAGAACGGCCCATTCCTCCGAGCCAGGTGGGGCTCAGAGACGCCCCTCCAACTGCCCCGGGAGCGCAGGACTGGGCCGGCCCTGCCCTCTGCGCACCCCGTGCCGAGCCATCGCTCCCCTGCGTTAGAGGCTGCGCCACACAGCACAAGCCACCCCCCCCCATGAGTCTGGCCGTCATCCAGGCACACACCAGCCTCGCTGCACACACAGGCCTTGTGCGCATGCTCCCGGGGACGGTTCGCTCTGTTGAGCACACGCTGTGCACACAAAAGGCTCTGGGCCTGATGTACGGCATCCCTGGCGCGCAAGACTCTTGCAGGAAACGGGGTGCCTGTCAGCAGACGGCCCTGCAGAGGACCCGGGGTTGGGCTCCACGTCCACGCCGGGCCCCGTGCTGCCCCAGCCATGCAGAGACCTCCGGAGCACAGACGACACCTTTGCCCACCATTTGGCCTCCGGGAAAGCACCCCAGCATCCTCCCAGCCATCGGAGCAAGGACACGCTCCCACCTGGAGCAGCACATGAGGCCGGCTGGCACTCCCACGCTGCCAGTGTCCACGAGGGTTCCTGCAAGGAGCCCCCGCAGGGCAGCAGCACGGTCCAGCACCCCTCGACGGCCTGCAGGTCAGCTGGTGCATTCCGTGGCTTGCCCTGCAGCCACGTGGGCCGAGGCTCTTCCTGCCCCGGAGGGCCAGCGGCTGGGGCCTGAATGCTCTTCCGCTGCTCAGCAGGCGGCCAGGAGCATCCCGGGGCTGCTCCTGGGCCCCAGCAAACCCCCGAGGCCGGCTCCCCTTGCTGCACTGCCAGCGGAGCACGCGGATGCTTCCAGGGCCCCAGAAGCACGGGGAGCTGCGTGCCTTTCACAATCCGGTGGAAAGGGTCACCCGGCCGGGGTGGGAGGTGGAGCAGGAGAGCAGCCGCTGGGAGGGCAGGTGCCCGCCGCCGAGTGACGCCAGCAGTGGCCCCACAGCCAGTCCTGGCCAGCGGCTCCTGGGCCACCGGCCCCTGCATCCTGGGCCCTCCCAGGCTCGGCTCGGCTCTGCGTGTGCTCATGGCAGCCTTGGAGGCTCGCCCAGCTCGAGCGTGTCTCGTGCACGGTGTGGAGGAGAGCCGGTGTGGCCCGGGTGCCGGGCTGGGGAGGTGGGAGGTCTGCTCTCTAGTCCCCACTAGGCCCTGAGGTTCCCTGGATGGGTTTGGGGCAGGCGTTCAGTCGCAGCCCAACCTACCTCGCAGGACGGCTGTTGTGAGGAAAAACTGGAGCTGGCTCAGCCGCCTCGGTTCCTCACAAGAGGGAAAAGCAGGAAAGAAAAGCAATGCAGTAACGAAGACCAACAGCAGAACTACTGCTAGTAGGAGCCGCCCTCTGGGGTGCACACCTCGCCACGGTGAGGGGGTCCGAAGGAGTCCGAGAAGCTGCGAGCAATGCTAGCTGCGGTGCAGCGCGCAAGAGCACGGGACGGGAACTCTGGGCTCCAGTCCCCACTCGGCCACGCAGCTCACTGGGTGACGTCGGGCCAGTCATGGACTCAGCCCAGTCTACCTGACGGGCTTGTTGTTGAAGATAGGAGACGATGGAGAGGAAGTGGAGAATTATGCAAGCTACCCCGAGATTCTTGGAAGGAAGAAAGGTAGCATATAAATGTAATATATAATGCTGCCCGGAGGCCAGACTCTCTGGCCGGTCTCCTAGCATGCTTGCTCAAGGTGAAGTGCCCACTCTCTGAAAGAGGGACACTCCCACCAGCAGAACCAGGAAGTACCTCTGGGATGGGGGTGGAGAAGTGGCAGCACATGAAGGCCACACTGGGGTGGGGGGATCTCTCCCAGTGTCGCTCAAGCGAACTCATGATCCTGTTAAGCAAGAGGAGGAAACGGCAAGCCGCTTCTGCCACTCCCTCCCACCAAACGCCTCCAAGGGAGCAGCCCAGAATGAAGCAAGCAGGCAGGCAAGCAGTGCCACCAGAAGGCGAGGCCCCCGGCAAGCTGCCGGGGAAGGGCACGGGACAAGCACAAGCGGTGCTGCTGCGAACAGCACAACCAGGTCACCAAGAACATCTAGCAGCCGACTTGCACGGACGTGAGAGGAGAGTCTGTCCTGGTGTGGAAATTCCACTGTGCGCAAGAAACTGCTGCTGGGACAGAATGTGGAGACTGAATCGCTCTGGGTGGGCAAAGGCGTCAGACGAGGGCTATTTTATCTCCCCGCCTGTTCAACCTGCATGCAGGACATACCACAAGAAACATCGGATTAGGTTCGGAAAAAATAGTGAAAATTAGCGCAAGACATTAAAAAGGTAAGCTTCGCAAAATATGCCACCTTACTGGCAGAAAGCCATGATGGCCTGAAATGACTCCTGATGAAAGTTTTTCAAAGTGCAAAAGTAGGAATGTAGCTGAGAAGAAAATAAAAATCACAACTATAGAAGTTCACTGCCAAGAATGAAGGAACAGAAATTGTCAAAGACACACCTTGGCTCAGTCAACGACTCAAAGGGAGAGGGCAGCCATGAATGGACTAAAATTTAGAAGGGGAGCAATGAAGGAACTGGGAGAGACCCAATGTAAGGGCCTTTCACTGCAAACCAAGGCCGAGCTGATTTGCATCATTATCTTCCCGAGCAATTTGGATGTTGGACAATGAAGCAAGCTGACCAGAAGAAAATTGATGTGCTTGAAACATGACGCTGAAGCAGAGTTTGGTCAATACCCTGAATGGACAGACAGATGAACAACTGGATGAGATGGACAGGGTGGCGTGTCCTGCACAGCAGGGGCTGGACCTGGCGGCCTTCTGGCCCCTCCCAGCCCTGCCATTCTGGGCTCCTTGATTCTAATGGGTCCTGGATCGAGTCTGGCCGGAGCTTCCACGAGAGGCAACAGGGCCCAAGCGGAGGCCGTCCTACTTTGGGCACGTCAGAACGCAGAACTCTCTGAAGACCGTCATGCCAGGGAAAGCAAAGGGAGGAGGAGGAACGGAAGGCCAAACGTGAGACGGGCCGACTCCACAGGGAAGCCATGGCCTTGCAGGAGCAGCAGAGCTGCCAAGGAGAGCGCGCGGGGGAGAGCCGTCCTTCACAGGGTTGCCGGAGCTCAGAATCGGCTTGGCGGTGCATCGCCACAGTAGTGGTCCTTGCAATCGATCGATCAATCAATCGATCGATCAATCAATCAAAGAAATGTGGTTTAGGCACGACTGCCCTCTCAGCCGTTCCTCCCACAAGGAGAGGATTCCCGGGAAGCCCCGCCCCGGGATCCTGCCCGCTTGTTCCAGGCACCTCGAGGGAGCTCCACACCTGGCAAGGGCCGTGGCCACCTCTGCGCAGCCACGGGAGGGGGCGGCCCCGCGCAAGCCACGCGGACACGGAAGGCAGCTGGCGAGAGACACAGCCGGGCAAGAGTGTCGCTTCATCAGCCTGTTTAATCAGAGCTGCAAGAGTCCGGCGTCACTCTGGCCCGGACCGGGTGGCCAAGGCAGGAATGTTTCCAGCAGCTCCAACCGAAGTGGGGGAGTGCGACTCCCGTGCCTGCGCTCGTCACGGCCACCGGGCGGCACTCGTGCACCTCGCGTCTCCTCCGTGGGCTCAGCCAGGCACCCCGGCCCTGCCGCCCGCGGGGAGGCCTCGCCCGGCTTCCGGGGCTTCTCCCAGTCCGCAGTCCTCGGGCACGGCAGGGCGCAGGAGGTCCCTGGGACTTCGCAAGTGCCTGGCCAAGGCGGCGGCTGGTCAGAGGAGCCCGGGGAAGGCCGACTGCAGCAGCAGGACCGCGCCCACGACGAGCCCCGCGCAGAGCAGCAGCAGCAGCCCGACGGGGAAGCTCCCTGCAAAGAGAGGGCCATGAGCCGGGGCAGGCGGGCGGGCCACACGGCCACGCCAAGCGCTTCCAGGCTGGACGCCCACGTGGCTGCAGACAGGCAGCGGCACCCCCCCCCCCCGGCCCGGGACGTCTCCCGCAGCGGATCTGGTGCAGGTGGCAGCGGCTGTCCACAGCCACGCTCAGCAGGGCCGCCTCGTGGCTCTTGAGCAAGTCTGGGGTCTCCGGCAGGAAGGCCACCGCCGTGACCACGATGCCGTGGGCCTCCTTCACATAGTACAACCTCTGCGGGAGCAGAACGGGGCCTTGAGAAGGGGCGGTGCTGTGGCAGACACGACCTCGCGAAGCGGGGCTGGGGGCAGGCCTCCCGCAGCGCGTGGAGCTCCTGGGCGAGGGAGGCTGGCCAGGGAATTGGCTACCCCCTTGGCCCTTCTCTCTGCCCGCGCCCGCTCCAGCAGCCCCTGCCGCCAGCCCCATCTGGCCTGCTCTGCAGCCCTGCCCCGGCCCTGCCCCAGCCCCCGGGCTCTAGCCCGCTCCTGCACGGGCCGTGCCTCATTTTGGCCTTGGGCACTGGCCGGCCTGCCCGGCGAGCCACACAAGGCGCACATGCAACCGCTCCAGGGGATGCTTACCTGCAGAGAGAAGGCCACAAAGATCGCCACGGAGCCGGTGACGGTGCCCAGACCCAGGAAGGTGCCCGTGTCGCTGCAAGCAAGGCAGGCAGAGGCACAAGCTGAGCTCCAGACTCCAACACACGCACGCTTCCCACAGCCAGGCGGATCATGTCCTGGAGGGCTGGGACGCGGCCATGCCTTGCTAGAGGCGGCGGCAGGGCCCTCCCCCCCCACCCTGCACCAGGTCAGCCGCCCACGGCACCCCTCCGGCCCAGCTGCAGGATTTGCCCCCCATGCCCGGGGGACAGGTGCGGGGAGGCGCTGGGCCTACCTGACGGACAGGCAGGAGACGACCTCGTTGCCGCAGGGCTGGGTGAGCAGCGGCAGGAAGCTGTGCCCGTCCCACTTGGTGATGTAGCAGGGGGGCAGCCGCCGCTCCCGCTTGTAGGGGATCTGCACCGTGTAGAGCCGCAGGGCCTTGGGCTGGTCCTCCACCACCCCAAACCTGGACCAGAAGGAGGGGGAGTCAACGGACAGGCTGCGCACCTCAGGCAAGGAGCAGCCCCCCGCCGGGCTCACTACCTGCAGGCCTGGTAGCGGTAGGCCTTGTCGGGGATGCCCGGGAGGTTCTCGTTCCAGTGCAGCGCTGTCACCATTTGGTCCCGCTGCCACACGCAGCACTGGAAGTCCCGACCCACCGTCACCGCCTGTGGGAGAGCAAGAGGACAGGGCTCAGGCACGCACCAGCAGGCCGCACGAGGAATCCCGCCCAGTCTTTATGTGGGGAGACTTGTGCCTGCAGCAGCGCAGCTTCCCCTCGTCCCACTTAAGACCAGGTACTGTGCGCGGCTCTTTCCGCGTTCTGCCTCCTTGGGAGCAGGCGGCCACGTTCCAAGCCCAGACAAGGAGCCCCCTGCCCTTGCTCGAGAAGGCTGCAAAGTGCCTCTGTCCTGCTCCAGGGAAAGCGCCTCCTTGACGCTCTTGAGGTCGCCCATCTGGGCCGGGCGGGAGGGGAAGGGCCCCGGCGCTGGCCCCACACCTCCCCCACCCCCTGCCCGCACAGGCCCTGGGGTGCATCTGGGGGCTCAGCGCAGCAACCAGCGAGTTCCTCAGAGAGCCCCCCAGCTCTTGGGAACCCAGGTGTCCGGGCCCGGGAGGGGCCTGAAGCCTCCTCACCTTGTGGTCGGGGCTCAGCGCGATGTCCTCGATCTCCCCCTTGTGCGCCTGGAACTCAAGGATCTTCTTCATGCTGGGGAACTGCAGAAACGGCCAGGAGAGGAGCCATGCACCACCGGCACCCCAGGGGCAGGTGCGGCCCCGCGGGACGAGAGCCGGCGAGCCTGGCCGGCAGGGAGAGGCCCCGCGCCCCCAACCGCCCCGGGCCCTACCTCCCAGACCCGCAGGAAGCCGTCCACGCCGCCCGTGGCCAGGAGGGAGTGGTCGTCGCTGAAGCACACGGCCTTCTGCAGGGCGTCCGGGCTGGTGTCGCTCTGCACGCAGTGCAGCGTCTCCACGGCCACCTCGCTCGCCTCGTGGCGCGTCCCGCCGCCGCCGCCGCCGCTGCCCGGCCCGCTGGGGGCGCGCGC